CTCCCTGCAGGACAGCTAAATGACTTTAAAGGCCTTGGGTGAGGAAGTTAGAGCTCTAAGGCCTTGATCCAAGTCAACTCCATCAGCTGGGCCATCTCTGTCCTCGTGATTGCTTCAAAGAAAGTGTTACAGAGCATCACTTCCGTCTGTTGACGTCCACAGACTCTCTCCTCCTTACATCCTATTTAGCTGTGAGTTTTATCCTCTCTTACAGTTTCTACCAGACTCTCTGAGTCTTCATACCCAGACCCTGGGAACCCTCCTCTAAAATTAGCCCCGTGTTTGCCACCTTCCGTGCTCTGGTCCTGCCTCGGACTGAAGCAAAGGTTATCTGCTGCAGTTAATGGTTAAGCAATGTAAGTACTTTTACCCTTGGGTGAAGACCTTCTGATCCAGGAGATTTATTACTGTTTTTCTGTTTATTCCAAGCAGTAGAGGAAGCCATGTCCTTTACACGTGTTACAACTCCCCTCTTGGTTCAAGGGTGTGAGGAGCAGAGCGGAGAAAGAAGAGAAGGCACAAACCCATTTATGGTAGTTCCTTTTTATGCCAGTTAATCTTGTCCAACTACTGTATTGTAATACCAGTTTAAGGTGAAAAAATGCTCCCCCTCCCTCCTCTAGATGAATCTTTTTTCTCCAGCCTTCTCCTTCCCTCCTGCATGTTTAACCATCGCTGGGACACATGAGAGGGGTTAGGAATTGCCAGGTGGGACAAGAGCTGGTCCTTGGCACGTGCAAGTCCTGAGGTTTGGAGAAGACCCCCAACACCTTCCGTCTGGGCTGGCACTGGGAAAAGTTGGCTGGGAAGAAAGGTGGATAAAGGGATGGGCAGAAAGGAAAACACCAGAGTTGGAGAGTTTCCTGACTGGAACCTGACCCACCTACCAGCCTTTGGAAGACCTTCCATTTGCTTTCTAAACTCTCAGGCCCGAATGTCATATCGTTTGCCCAGCCATAAATAGCTGGGAATTAAACAAACTGTGCTGGTTTTCTGGCTAATAGATAATGTCCTCTAGTGCTGCAGCCTTATCTCCATATCCCACTGTGTTTGCGTTGGAGATCAGGAGCTCGAGCTGACTTTTTTTTTTTCCTCCCAAGATTTAAAGAGCTGGCAGAACATTCATTCAGTTGTGCAACCTCCATTCAGAGAGGTTCTCAGATCCTGGGCATGGGGCTCATTTTTTGCCCTTTGACAGCTGCTGTAAATCAGCTGTGGAGGTCACTTGTAGTCAATCAGTAACCAGCACAGGCAGAGGGCAAAACACTCAATATTTGGTATGAAAACAGGCTTTAAGCTGGAAGTTCTTGCTCAGGTGACATTTTCACAGCCATGCCTTTGGAAACCTGGCTCCATCCAGCCTTGGGGGAGGTACAAGCCTGGCCATGATCTTTTTCTGGTAATTATCCACAGGGAGAATTTCCCAGCACGTGCACACGAACAAATTACAGCAAACCAGGGCACAAGGTGCTTCAGGTGGGGGAAGTGGGTCTTGTGGTGCAAGGTGCTCATTTGGTGCCAGCTGGATTACTCCTCCTTTTTTGCAGGAAATCATTAAGTGTTGGCTGAAGCCATGCATGACCTTCATCACAACCACTTCTCTCAGGAACTGAGACTCGTGGCCAGAGGGTAATTCTTGCAGGGGTCCCTAATTCCCTTTGAAACAACTGGGAACTAAGCTCTTAAATACCTTTGCCGTCTGAATCATATTGCACTGGCGTCATCACTTCTGTTTGCTCCTCGTTCTGGAGCCGGTTGCCCATTAAAACTTCTGCCTGACCTCATCTCGAGCCCCTGCAATGAGAACACGCTCAATTTCCTCTTTCCTTTGACCTCGGCGGCTCCGGGCTCCGCGGTGATGCAGGATGTGCCCGTGAGTAATCCCCCAGCCGGCTCCCCGTGCGCGCAGCTCCCGTGCCCCGGTGCCCTGCCCCGTCAGCTCTCTGACATCCCTGTGCGCAACCTGGACGTGCTCCCGCGGGCCCCGTGCTGCAGCCACACGCCGGCACCTCGCTGTTTGTCCCCTGGTAACAGAGCGGGGCTGCCCCGGCTGTTTGCACAACCACCCGGCACTCCTGCTCGGATCCCTGTGCTGGGCGGTGCCCGCCGAGCCGCGGGATTTGCAGGTTCACGTGTCGCGCTTTTCACCTTCGCTCCAGGCTGGGAGGTGGGCACGTTGTGCCAAGTGTCCATCAGATCCGTCCCGGCGCCCCTGGGAGCTCCTGCAGGTCTCAGACCCAGCTACTGGGGGTCTGCTGCCTTGATGCAAAACGTTGTCTGTTGGGCTCAATGATCTTAGAGGTGTTTTCCAACCTTAGGTTCTGTGATTCTGTGTTGCTTCCCAGGCTGGTTGTCTCTGTGAAATGCTGCTTTTCTGGTGTCCACACGCAAAGGACAGGTTTGACATCAGCCACTGGCCATGGCCATGGGGCTTTGCAGGTGGTGTCCTTCCTCCAGCTCTTCCCTGGAGCCTCACAAGGCCACTGGTGCTCCTTGCCAGCCTGCTGGCATGCAGGGAAAGGAATCAAGCAGGTTTTTCCCTTTCTCTCTCTCTCCTGTCATACATTTTATACAAACTTGAAATACCAGCACTTCCTTCCAGCTTTCTGACAGCCTGAGAGAGGGACCCCAGAGAGCAGGATGGAAGCTCAGCTTGTGAGCAACACAAAAGGGATTTTCTGACCAGGAGCTGCATGCATGTGCCCATTATCCCTGTGAAGGCTGGAGCAACATCCTCCAGTGCCAGTCCTGTGTACCGGCATCCCCGGGCTGCCAGACTGGTCAGACTTGAATTTTAGGCTTCTTAAGGGTTTAATAAGAGGCTGAACTAAAATACTAGCTGTGAGTGGAGAGCTGAATTCTTCAAGGTCAGAAGGTGGAGAAGGTGGGGTTAGGGTCAGTCCTGTGCCATGGGGAGGTTCGGTGCTCCCAGCATGGCACGGGATGGTTTTTTTCCCCGGCAAGCAAATGAAGGATGCTCATGGCACTGCTCCTTCTGCCCCGGGGAGCTGTGGTGGAGCACAGCCCTGTGCACCCCGAGGGGCTCAGAGGATGGCTCAGCCTTCCTGGTGTGGCTGGGCAAGTCTGTAGGTTTGGGCAGGAGCTACAGAAGGGTGGCTGTTCTGTGTCTGGGAGCTGGGCTGGGCTGTCCAGTGACCATCTCACGGCACCATACTGGAAAGCTGACCCAGAATGTCCCCCCAGAGTGTACCCTGTGCAGGTAAGCCCTCACACACTAGGCCTGCATGCCCAGAGGGGGCTGGCAGACACGTTGTGCCTTGTTCAACTCTGGGTCTCAGCACCTCAGACCACTTGCACACTTACTGTTTTAAGTGCCTGCTGTCTTCCCGGGGGATTCACCAGGAGAGAAAACCAAAAGGGCACTTTAGAGCCCAGGCTTCAGCACTGCACTGCGCTGACTGGAGCAGCAATGAACGCTCTGCTTTCAGCTCTCAGCTACCTTTGCATCCCAGCTCTTGTGGAACAAACAGCTACATGTCTCCCAAGTAATTTTAACACTCCCACAGTTGCAAAGTCCTTTAGCTTTTTTTGGGGGAAAAAAAAAGCCATATAAACCCTGTATCTATTAAACCTTCATCCTCTGAAGCCTCTGTGTTAGTGTGCCAGGAATGTGCCACTTCCTACAGCTTGCTTGGAAAATGACAGGTGAGCTATGGGAGCAGCAGCACCTGCCATAGCCCAGGATGACCCGGAGGAGGTGCCGGCTGCTCTGGAGGGCAGCAGGGCCAGCATCTCCCACCTGCAGAAAATGGTCTTCACGAGAACATACACAAACATTAAGGACCTTTAATTGGAGGGTTTTTTTTTTCACATACACTTAGGAAAGGTACAACAAAAAAACCAGCAGGTATTTTCTTGGTCAGCAAACGTGATCCAGACTTCCTCCCACTCAGCTTCTTCTGACATTACACAAAGCACTGGAGATTTAGATGCACTCCTGTTGTGGAAACATTTCGGACATAACCCAAGCCCAGACCACTGGGAGAGGATCCCAGTTCTCCATCCTGCTGTGGTCTCTGTCCGTGGCTCAGCTGCAGGTGCAGGGCATGGAAAGCCTTCAGGGGAACCAGAGCTGGACTCACGTTCAACGCCGTTTCCCTCATTGTTAGTTTTCTTCCCTGCAGCGACCAAACACCCAACGTGCGCAGGCTTTGGGGGGCCTAGAGCCTTGCACATCATGCTGAAGCCCAGGATCTGCCTGTTTTATCTCCCTCCCCAACCCTTACCATACCCAGCCCCAACACACTCCTGCAAAAGCCACCATGTGCCCATTGCCAGGCACCAGCCTCGGCCACCCCTCAGCGATCCCATTAGATGGCACCACGGGGCAGCGTTGGCTACACCTTCTTTCCTTCCTTCCTCTCCCCTAGACGTGTCTTGACACTGCTCCAGCCCTGAACTGGCCCTTTGTGCAGGGCAGCAAGCTCTGAGCTCCACCGTAGTCACTTGGCTGAGCCTGCAAAACGAGGAGTGAGGACAAGGCTCGCCACGCTCGCCCCTCTTCCCTGCAATCACAGTCCTTAGCAAGGCAGGATGTTTCCAGGATCAGCCTTTTCTTTATTTAGGGATTTTTGCACAGGCAAATGTTACATTTTTTTGGGCACACAGAGGTTAAAATGATCAATCCTATGTGTATGCACACGCTCCCCCCCACAGCCTGTGCTGGCTCTCCCAGGGAATCTATCCAACACATATATATACAGTGGTCTGGTAGAAAGTGTTTTCTGAGGTTTTGAAATCCTTTAAAAAGGCTCTAAAAGGCTAACACTGATAAAAGCCTTTAAAGAGTGTCCGCTCTGTCTGCCTGTGTCTGTGCAGTTCGGATTCAGCAGCTTTGTGTCTGCCTAATGCAGTTTGCAGGCTGTGTATTGCACTTTCCTAGGCTGAATCTTGTTCTGACTCCTCTTGCTTTGCTCTCTCATCTATAAAAGCAGGATTTCTACTGAAAATAAGCAATAAACTGCTGCGTATGCTCAAGTGGAAAGCATTTTCAAAAGCAAGACAGCACTCTGCTGTCCTTCTGCCTGGGACTTTTTGTGATAAGACAGTAAATTGATTGAAACTAAAATAGGGAATGAGGGTGTTTGCTGACCTTGTTCTGGTGACAGAAAAGTAATTTCAGGGTGAGACTGTGCCTTGAGCTTCTACAGGGACCTGTTGTCCTGGGCATAGGATCAAGGGAGTTTTTCCTCCAGAAAGGATTGCAAGATAGGTAGTAGTTGCCATTTAAAAATGAGGTTTTTAAAAAGAAAAGGGAAAATTTCAATTAAAAGAAGCAAACATAATGCATAGGTTGGTTAAATGTTCACAATTGTAAATACAGACAATAATTTACAGGCTTTTCTCTTGAAATATTAGTGCTGCTATAAGGAGCCAAGCATGTGACTTACTTACAACGACATACCATCGCATTTCCAGACTGAAAATGAGACAGATTAAATTGACATTATATATTATTTAGCTGTGTACCAACTAGCCAAACAAACACTATGAATTCCGTCATTTATGATGGAAGCTACATAAAAATTGCATAATTACTGCAGTGAGTCACCTATTTAAATGGCACTCCTATATGGACGAATTGATTTCAATGCAAGATTAATAGCCTTTTGCTGCTGGTTTACGTGCTTGCCAAAGACCAAACTACGTTGTTGCTAAGCATCATTAGTGGATTAAAATAGGGGTTCTGCATAATTCCTACGGTGTACCTTCAAACAGCGCTTTAGTTTGTGCACTAGCCTAGCTCTTGTTAGCCCTACGTAACACACGGAGCGGGGCGGCCGACACGTGTGAGGGGGGTTAATGCAATCCCAGGAACTCTTTCAAAAGCTCACAGGTTTTCTTGTGGATGACTTCGCGGAGCTTGCGCACGCGCCGGATGCTGGAGGTCCCCACAAAGCTGTCTGGCTGCAGCACAGCCATGCCGTTGTGGACATCCCCCATGATGATGAGCTGGCCATCCACCGTGGTCATGTTGGGACACGGGCAGCTCCAGTCCATGTTCAAGAGCGTGATTTCTAGGGGTTCCTTCCCCAGGAATTTTAATCCCATTTTTTCATCCTTGAGAATCTCCTCCACCGTCACCAGGGCGTGTCCCGAGTCTTGGTCTTCGGTGAGCTCCGTGATGCGGCCCAGGATGACGAAGTCGCTTTTGCAGAAGCTCGTCACCAGCTTCTGGCGGGGTTTGCAGGCTTTGCAGTGCGTGTTCTTCGGGAAGGGGCACATCTCCTCGCAGGCCTCCCGGCTCTCGAAGTTGTTCTCGTTGCCTCCACACCCGCCGTAGATGAAGGACTGGCACTGCTTTGTCAAGCTGTTGTAGGCCCACCTGGGCTCGTAGGCCTTGCAGTGGCCTTGGAGGGCTGGCAGGTTGCAGATGTTGATGGGGCCGTTCATGCACGTTAACATGCAGCTCTCGTAGGTCTCAAAGTGGTTGAGGTTGCTGTTACAGTTCCCATAGATGAAAGTAAAGCAGTTGTTTTTCTTTGCATCATAGTACCACCTGGTCTGCTCTTCCCCGCAGTCTTCGCTGTCCGGTTGCTTCAGGCACTCATCGGTTGGGAAATGCGTTTTGTTTTGGGAAGCCTCTTTGGATGCGGGTTCTCCTTTGATGACTGACAAAGGGAAGTCAGCCCTGAGGAGGCCACCGCTGTTCTGGGCGGTGCAGGTGTAGATTCCCGCGTCCTGCAGCTGCGTGTTGTAAATGACCAGCTGGGCGATGTTGGTGACCACGACGTTCCCTCTGACGTGATTTGGCCTCATGATGACTTTGTCCTTCCCATCGACCTGCTTCTCCCACGTGATCTCTGGCTTGGGTCTCCCTGTAACGTCACAGAGGAAGCTGACGGTCTCTCCCACGTAGACAGACTGATGGACAGGGTTGTTCACGAGCGCGGGTGGCAGGATGTCGACGACCGTTGTCTCGGAGTAGGCAGTAGTTGGGCGAGCTGTTGTTTCTGGTGGGATAGGGCTGGTGTTTGGCCAGGTGAGATGGTACCTGCAGGTGACCACGTTCAGTGTAATGCCTTTGATGCACGCTTCTGCATCCATGTAGCACTTGTTGTAGTAGGTGAGCCCGTCGGAGGCGCAGGTGAAGCTCGGCTCCTTCTCACACCTGTCCTTGCACTTGCAGACAGGCTGCCCATCCCAGATGTCACACTCTGAGCCTTGCTGGATGCACATGAAACGGTCACAGGTTGCCTCCTTGGGCATTCCCACCGGCCCTTTTTTCCCCTTGACGTCCATGTACCGAGCAGCCACACAACTCTTCGTTCCACAGACATTGGGGCAGCACTTCTCGAAAGTCTCGCACTCCTGTGAGGGAGAAAAATAACCCAATAGTTACTGGGGGCAAAGTAAAGGCCTTTTTAGAGACCCAGCAAGCAGACAGCCCAGAAACTCAGGGGACCTCATCTGCCGCAGATATATCTGGTCTGAAAACTCAGTGTCCCCACGGGCAATGAGCAGAAACATCTCCTCAGCATCTCCCAAGAGGTGTCTAAACATATTGGGGGGTCTGAAGTGCTTCAAGAGAAGACTCTCTGGAAGGAAAATGTAATTCTGTTTCTTAAACACAAACCTCATCCTAAGTCTTTACCCCAGAGTCACATGGACTGCTTGACTACGAAACCAATCACCCCCCTTCTGTGCTCTCCCAAATGCCTGAGGACAAGGCCTGAGAAACAAGAGCCTATGGAAAGTCTTATCATATGGCTGTAGGCAGTAATCCTTCTTATTTTCCACAGAAGTATGTAAAGTATTATTTGAATTCCCTGAGACTAACAGCCTGCTCTTGGAGGTGAAACTGCCAAGGATTTGTAATTGTTCACATTGTAGAGGAAATAATAGAATATCTCAAAAGTAAGGTAATTCTTGCTCCAAAAATAATTTTTCTATGGTATTTAGAAAAACAAACCCCAAACAGATCATTATGGCTTCTCTGTCCTATTTTAGTCCTATTTTCAAATGCAGCATCGCTCTTCTAGTGATTTATTACACCCCGCCTCGGCTACAGTCAGCTCTAAATTGTGGTTAATTTTAGCAGAATTTTCATCTTCTGTGCAGAAAAGGTATTTGATACGTGTGATCACGGCTGCTGGGCTGTTATGGATTACTTTAAGGGACCATGAACACTGTTACCATGTGCCCAACAGGTCACACTTCCACTGTGTGTTAAACCTCTACAAGCCCCCTGAAATCCATCAGCTGTCTCTGTAAGTGAGGACAACATGATTTTTAGGCTACCAAACTAAAGAGCTTCCCCTGAGTCCAGTATCCTTTCCTTATTGGGAAAAAGATGACCTAATACCAGAACTCTTTCCCCATTTCCAGCTGCACATTACTAGGTTTCAGAAGCAAAGCTAGAAACCAGGATGGGTGAGGTTTTCAGCTGGGGTTAAGGAGTGTGGCTTGGCAGAGCCCTTGGCTGCCTGCAGACCACTCACTCCATCCAAGGTGCCAGGACTCTGTGCTGCCACAAAGTGAGTATTTGTAGCCACTGGCTTCTGGCTTTCAGTTTTTGACCAGTAAATTATTAAAACATTGTCGTCTGCTGCTGGGGTTTTGCAAGTGTTTTAGCATTCATTGCTGCACCTGGTAGTTGGAACAGAGGAGGCTTATTTGAGAATGGCAAAAGTAAAAAGAGCACCTTCATTCCTAACACATGGGATCCATCTGAGCAAATGTCTTTGTTTACTTATGACCAGCATTTTTCTCTGTTTTTTTACCCTTTTTAGCATTGCAGAAACAACCTGGCTACAGAGCACAAACCCAAACACTTTTTTTCATCACAGTACGTGTTCCTGTCAGCCAGGTTTGGGCTGCAGGAGCTTTGTCGTGGGACATGATGTAAGAGGCAGGACAAGCAGGTATTTTCAGATGCCAGCTTGAGCTGGCAGTGCTGACAGGTTGAAAAATGAATTTTGGGGTTGTAAGCTAAACACATTTTGAGCTGGGAGCATCCCACAGAACATCTGCCTGGTCATTTTAGCCATGCCCTGTTCTGCACCCCAAGCACCCTTTGTGCTTCGAGTGCAGCAAAGGCTGATGATTTGCATGTTAAATCAAACAATTTCATACAGGATTTCTCCCAGGAATATAAAACATCGATGATGGCCACCAACAACAAAGAACACGGTGACACTGCTAAAATACTACAGACTGGCCCCAGTGCATGCTGAGTGCTGGAGTATCAAATTCAGACAGTTCTTTTGACATGAAAGCAAGGAAAAGGATCAAACAGAGCGAGCCCTGTGCCCACATCAGCGTAAGTGACAACTGCCACACACCTCCCTGCTTAACAACAACTCATCAAACCTTTTCTATTTTATATAGGTCACGGGTCAGTTAAATACATGCACTGTCTGCACCGAGTCCTGCATGGTGCCAGTGCCCTTCTCGTGGGACAGACAGAAACAAGCCCCCAGACAAGCCCCCTCACCGCCCGTGACGCAGAGACACAAAGATGTGCATCACTCACCAGGTCAGCGTCGCACTCTCTCTTGCAAGTGCTCTGCGCGTCGACCCACAGGTTGGGGTTCATGTCATTGGGGCATATCCCAGCGTGGGAATACCGGACTGGGGGCAGAGCTCTCCCTTTCAGAGAGACCTCCAGAAGCAAGAGGACACTGCTCTTCCCCAGCAAGATCCACATCCACCGAGTGAACAGCACCAACAACATCTCAGAACTTCTCCAGGGCAGTGGCAGTGTCCGAGCTGGAAGTAGTTCTTGCTTGCTTGGGGTTGCTTTTTTTTGGCAAGCCTTAAATTTTTGAGGAACCCAGATGCACCTGACCTCAGTAAAAGCTTCAGCGAGCTCCTCTGCTGCCTCTGTCGATAGTGCAGTTTGGTCTGGACCTCATTGGATTAAAGGTCCTAGGAAGTTATCCCCTTATTTTAAGAGAAACGCTACTAGTCTGAGCAGAGTTAGCTCTATTTATACCCTGCCTCTGTTAACAAGTCAGAAAAAGTAAACTTGATTTCTTTGACAGGCACACGCTTCCTATGTCCTGGTGGCAGTCAGACAGATTTGTTGCAAGAAAAAAAAGCTGGAAAGAGTTCAAAAGGCTGGAACTGGCATGGTGGGACCCCTGCATGTTTCTGAATGCAGGGAGGCCTTCTTAACCCCTTTAGACCTAAAGTACTTCCCTATGCTAAGAATGGCATTTAGTTCTGAAAGGGGACTTGTCTAAATAACACGGACCCGCGGTCAGGGGATTTCCCCACGGCAAGGGGCTGCACAATCACTTGCTAAAAGGAACAAGTAATAGGATTGAAGCAATTAAAGCCAAAATATCATATTTTAGCAGAGGAAGTAGGGGAAGAAATAACTTATTTAAACGTAGGATTGACAAAGCAGAATGTCTTCATAACTTCTCCCGGGGCTTCTCTGGGTTTTTTTCTTCTTTGGTGGGGAGATTTCCAGGATGCCAGGTTTAATGCTGCCCTCCAGCCCCACCAGGAAGATGTTAAAAGTGTCCCTGAATTCCTCTACATTTCCTGACAGCCAGATCCCATTGTACAGTGCATTGCTGACCCCTTTAACAGCAACAACAAAAAAATAGTAGAAGTTCAACACTATGGAAACCTGCATAAAGGAATGTACAGCATTTTTGCATTGGGGGGTGGGAGGGAAACTCAGTCAAGCTGAGTTCCTCATTCCCTGATTATTACAGCAAGGGGCTGATCCTGCTCGTGCTGAACATGTGCCAAAATCCAGAGATGAGTGGCAGAAGTCTGAGTGGCTCAGCACCTTCCAGGATTAGAGCCTCTGGGCTGAGTTCTGGGCCAGCCTGGGTGGGCCCTGTGTGTTGCTAAGGGCCTCCTGGGAGGATCAGGTAAGTTTGCATCCCACGTGGGGGTTCTGCAGGGCTGGAGCAGCAGCGCTGTGCCTGGGGAGGAGGGAAGGGTGTGAATCCACCCTGTGCCCAGTGCTGGGCGCTGCAAAGGCGACAGAGCAAGGCACAGTCAGCCCTTACTTTTCTCCCTTGGGTGTATTAAACCAGGGCTGAGTTTGGACCTAATTCTGCCGAGTGGTGATGCTGCCAACCAGTACAACCAGCCAGGTGAACTGGGCCACCATGGGGCTCCTGCTCCTCCCTTGGGGCCAGGCAGCAGAGCACAGTGGCCTGCTGATGTTTCCCAGGATCACCCCTGGAAGAAAGGGAGGGCAACCTGGAGCTGACCTGCCCTTGGCTGTGGCATTTCTGTGACAACCCTGGGCTTATAAAAGGGGCTGTTGCAGTTCTGATTTGTGTGCCTGCATTAACGATATGCACAGTATTTGAATTTCATGGGACGTGCAGGGCGAAGTTGTCCAAATTAGCTATTTATAAGGAGCAAAGTCAACTGCCAGGCAGCAGTTTGCAGTTGATTTATTCTCCCTGAAACTTTAGAAACCTGCATGACACTTGTACAAAGTGCGGCTGTGTGCTAAATGTTTTATTCAGTACTTGTTTACAAAGACAAACGCAGCACCCTGTGATGCCTAAAAAAGCCAACCAAAAATGACACATTCCCAAGAGGTACTTAAAATTCTTACAGCTCTATTAACAACAAAATCACATGTATTAGTGGTTCTGTTGGCTAAACAAAGACACTTTATATTGTAAAACTCACTACAGATAAGCTTTGAAACAAGCTGTATGTGGGTCTTGGGGAGTGCAGGTATACTGGGTGCTGCTGTCATGACCTCAAAAGCCGCTGTAGGTGCAGGGAATTTTCCCTTGATCCATGTCATTGCCATGGATGTGATTTTCCCCTGCCATCTTGAGCCTTGTGGGCCTGTTTTACCTCCTCACCTGCTGGGCCAGAGGTGGGTCTTGCAGCCTCCATCTCCTCTCCTGGTGCCAGAAAGCCACCTCCTTTGGCCATGTTGAATGAGAGACCCATCGGTGTGGATCCACCATTCCAAGGAGGAAAAAAATAACACTTTTTTATTTTTATTTTTTTCCCTTGCCAGACCAAGGATCCCTTGCCCAGAGGCACATTTCAGCTGTGGGGGAGCAGAGTGGGGCTCTGAAGAATCAGACACTGGTTTGCATGAGACAGACAGAGCTATGTCCTCATCCATCCAGAGGGATATTCTCCAGGGACAGGCAAGTCCCACTGCAGCTTTCTGCTTTTGGGCTCCTAGGTATCATGTTCCTGGATCACTCCCTTGGCCACTTGAACACAGCCAGGAGAGAGGAAAACACTGCCATAAATCTCCCTGTGAATGCAGGCAGGCAGCTCCTGAGGGCAGAGGAGGCAGTGAGGACTCCAAGCAACCCTTGACAGCTGCCCTGTCCCTGCCAGGACATCCCAGACGTGCTGTTACCCAACCTGAGGAGCACATCCAGGAGGGACACCACAGGCTACCCCGGGCTGGCTCAGGGACAGCAAAGACTCTGGTTGTCCCAGGATGGACAGCCAAGCTCTGCCTAATGCACTCACTGTCTCCTCAATTTCATTAGGTTGTTTTCTTGCCTGGTTTAACTTAGTTGAACTCCGCTGACCTCAGTGGATTTGACTGGGGACTCCAGAACACCACCAGCTAATGCCAACTGTGAATCAGGGTCTCTGTCAAGGTCCCTGGGCACAGTTTCTCTGTTCCTCCTTGTTTATAAAGCACCGTGCATTTTTTCTTTAATATAAGCAATAAAGTAACCCTCATTCTCCATTTCTATGAGCAAATCTATTATGAAAACCAAATTTATGGCTTATCTTCTCTCAACCATGTCAGATACTGATGTGATAAAGATCTTCCCAAATGAGATCCAGCCTTAGAAGGATCCCCACTACTACCCCAAAATCTCCCTTTCTGATCAAGATATTGAACTGAGTCTGCTGGATGAGGAGCTGGGATGAGCTTCTCTGGACCTCGGATGGACAAACCTGAGCTCTGATGGCACAGAGACAACATCCTGAGTCTGCTCCCAGCAGTGGGGACATGCAATCTCTGTGCAGCCTGTGCTCCACAGATGTCCATCCACCACTACACACCAGTCCTGAAAAGCCCTCCTAGGATGCCCAGGATCCTAACTGTTGTTGAGTTTTTTTGTAAATTGTAATTTCTTTGCCTTTTTTCTTACTCTATGGGTTGTCCCTGCCCTCCTCTGCTGTGCCAGGAATTGACCGTGTTTGGTGAGACCCCTTTTAATTGAGGAGGGAAATGGGATTCTCTGGTATACAGAAAACTATAATTGTATTTGGTTGTGTTTTTTTTTTCCTTAAGCCACTGTTAAAGGAGCAGCAAACTGTTGATCATATTTACGAGCAATCCTCATCTGGAGTTACTCAGCGGATGGTGGATTGATTTGCTGGTTTTATTGTGGAAGGCTCTTGGCAGGAACCGTCACCCTGCGATGTTAAACCTCCCTTTCCCATTGATCTCTGCCTCGGCACAGGGGCCCTTCCAGCCTCAGCCTCTCGTGCTCCCTGGGCCCGCCGCCACTCGCAGCTGGTTTTGCCAACACAAACACGAGCCTCCCCCTCTCCAGGCAGGCTCTGACTCATCGCTGCCGGTGGCAGTTTGCTGCCTGTGGCATCCAGACCCTACACGAGGGCTCTGGGCTGGAGTGGGCACTTGCCTGTGCTGCACTGTAAGGGGTGCCCCCAGCACCCACCGCAGCGGTGAAGGTTGGATGCTGGTCATCTTCTGCCTCTGAGCTTAGCTTAAAGCACAGATTCTGCTCCTTGAGGCCACCCTCCTCCTCCTCCCACAGGACAGCAGGGCTTGGTACCAACTCCCTGCACTGCCCACAGCAGCAATCAGCCCCTTCTTCCAAACAGGGCACCAAGACCTGCCCTGCCTGTAGAGACCCCGGTCACACAGGGAGCCCCAAGGACACGCTCTTCTTTGGCCCCACCATCATCATTCACCCTCCATAGGTGGCTTCTTGTCCATGCACAGGTGAAAATGTGATGCCTGAACAGAAAAGTACTTTAAAAACCCCCTGTCTCATTTAGACAGTAATGACGTTCCAGGCTGTATGTAAAGCTTATTGCTCTTAAAGCTGAGAGGGAATGTCACTGCCAAATCCCTTTCAGAGTACAGCTTGTCTTAAGCAGGAACATTTCTTCCAAACCCACAGAAAAATACAGATAGTGCCTTGGGAACTCAGCTTCAGCTTGGTTTGGACTGCAAAGGATCAAACCTTCCCCTCTGAACAATGCCCCTTTCCACGAACCTCCGCAGGACCTGCTCAGGGGATGGCCAGGAATCCCAGCTCGGGTGCCTTTCCACAGACCTCAGAAAAGCACACAGCTCACACTGGCTGGATGGTTGGCCAAGAGAGAAGGATTTTTGGCAGCATGAGATGCACCTCCAAACATCAAAGCACAGGCAAAGGCTGCTGTGCTGGCCACATGCTTTTGGAGCACACACATGGGCAGGGCAGATCTGGCTGAAGGTTTGCAATGGGAACAGCACACCTGGGTCCTATTTCAGGGCTCTTCAAATGCACAATTAGAAGTGGAGGCATATTTCAATTTTCCCCAAGTAAAGATAGAAATCTCTCTGGAAGTGCCCAGAGCTAACAAGTGCTGCTTTTGACTTCTGAAATAACCCATCTAAGCAGATCCCAGCGTGCAGGGACAGGCTCAGGGGGCACATTCAGCACGGTGACTGCTCACCCAAACGAGCTGCTGTTTATGGGCTGCCTCACGTGCAGCTGCTCAGTAAGCAGAAGTTAATGTAGTTAGACAAAAGGGCTCAGTTTGGGGGGGGGGGGAAATCAATAATGTCAGGGAGTTTATTACGGGGTTATGGGCCACCTGCTAGAACTCAGCATTAGGCCTGTGTTGCGTTGTGTTTCGGGGACAGCTGATGGCCCTGCACTCAGACAGGGCTAGCACCAGAATTATTATTTTATGCCTCGGCAGATGGCTTCTGCTCGGGGGTTTTATCTCTGAGTGCAGACATACGACTAATCATCATTTGCTTTCTCTTTCTCTGCTAACGTAAGCTGGGCAGGAAGCAATTGCCAGTTTGATGATGGTTCATTATTGTTCGGTTTATTCTGTCTGAAACAGCACAGCAAGAGGCACCGAGGGTACAAAGGAAGATAATCAACCCGTTATCAGTGAGATATGGGGAAAAGCTGAGCTCAGAAGCTTGTCTTTCACCAGCCCATCTTTCTGTCTCTCTGTCAGAGGCAAAGCCTTAAGTATCCCACAGATAATTTGGAGAGGCCATGGCGCCGTCATCTTTGGATTGCCAGGACTGGAAAGGTGAAATGTTGGCAATGGGTTCCCCCTGGCATAGAGCAGGAGGGTCTAAGTCACCTCCCAAAGTCCCTTCCAGACTTGTTCTCTGTCACCCTCAATGCTGAATGAGACCTGCTCCATCATTTAAGCTTTGAATTAGGGAAATCTGAGATCTCTAATGCAACCATGAATGCCAGTAAACAGAAATCCCAGCCACGGTGGTACCAGCACAGGGCCAGCACTGTCCATGTTAGGCCCTCTCAGCCACCTGCTTCCATGGTGAACAGGCTGGACCAGCTACTGTCGTGGGAAACATGGACACCAGGCTGCTGCAGAGAGGCTTGAGCACCTTGCTTTGTCGCAGGTTTTGGGAACTAGTGATTAGTTTCGTGGTGAGCTTGAATAGTGGCACTTTAGGAAACTGGCACTAAATCCGTGGTGTGCAACTGGAGATGTTCCCATGGCTTGCAGCACTGCTGTGGCTGTATGAGCCATAGCATGAAAACCTCAGGGCTGAACTGGTACATTTGTTGTTGCTCTTTATGGTCTTCAGTTTTTCTGCTTGGTTCCAGCACAATTTGAATAAAAGCTCAGAATAAAAGTGAAGGGCAGGCCTGACACGTGCTCAGGCTGAGTGCTCAGCACATCTTTCACCAGAGCTGGTGGTGTTTCTCCAGGAACGTGAGTTAATTTAGTTCCCCAAGTAGGAGGCTAATGAATATTATTGAACCCATTGCACAGGTTCACTTCAGTCTGCAAATGACCCTAATTTAACCTCCCGTATTTACTTTTAGGAATTTAAAGCTGGGAGGAAATCACTTGATGAGTATCACACAGCAACAGCCACGAAAGGTTGGAGTCCTGAGACCCTGATTCCAACCCCATGGGCACCATTTCCTTCTCAGAAAGCAGGTTCAATATAGAAAAGTCACCTTGCTTTTGTTTGTGATGTGATTCAACTTATATAAAAATAGTAAGGTTTTAACCTGCTGTGCTAATTTAATTTAACTCCCTCCAGTTCTTTTTTCCTTGAAAACCCCGAGTTTGTCCTGGTTTGTACTGCAAGCCTTAATTCCCTGTGAATTCCCTACTTCAACATGAAGTAACCATCTCACCATCACTCAGGGCTAATCTTTTCAGAAAGGTTATGAACCTTTCAGTGGAGGAGAGTTTGTGAGGTGGGGTTAAACTGCTGCAGATTTGCTTGGTTTTGTGCTTCGTTGTGAGACTTTACCAAGCCACTGATTCTGCTGAAGTTTGGAACCCTCATTGTGGCTGGGAGCCTCTCCAGGAGATGCAGAGAAGCTCCCAGCAACTGGGCTTTTCATCAGGCAACGAGTGTTGGCTTCTTCAGACAACCTGGAAGTCCCAGAGCTCCTCCGCGGGTTTGGTATCCAAAAC